CAGACGCTCCTCTCCGCTCCTCGCGCCGTTGCTAAAGGAGAGGAAGAGGCGCACCGCGGACGGCGCATTCAGGGTCGCTTAGAGAGTGCATTCGCACTTAAAAATTTATGCCTGGAACGTGAGCCGCGAACGCGCTGTCCTACCCTCTCATTTTACCCTCCTCCTTCGGCACACAGGCGGGTGTCTTTGACGGCCGCCCCCTGCGAACACAGCATTGCTCTTGCCTCCGAGCAACTGTGATGTCACGTGACAGAGCAGTTATGTCACATGACTGAGCGGTACGGAGGCGAGCGGTCTCACGCGGCGGCCGGTCGCAACACAAGGCATGAGGCATGGCCTCCGAGATTGCATGCTGGCAGGATTCTCCCATTTGAAAAGGGAGCGACGTTCCAGGCATAGTTTTTCTGAGAGGCGTTGCTATAGCATTACGAGACTCGCGCCAAAATGGACTACTTCACGTATACTATAGTGCTACACGTGCAGAAGCTCCGTCTCCGTAGCTTTCCTTTCGGTGCCAAGAAAAGTTGTGGCCGAGTATAGTCGCGTGATATGTTCCCGCTGTTAAGGTCTAAGGATGAAGTTGCAGATGTAACCAGGTGGAGGAACTGAACGCTTACAAAAAGAGAATACGAAAAACAAAACAGGTTTATGGCACTATTTACACATATTTACAGAAAAGAAAGGTTAGGGGTTTCACAACCCACGAGCGTGGTGGTTGAACGTTACATAGTTCAGAGCGACGTCCAGCACTCTGCGGCGTCGTTTTAAGCCCTGTCGGGCTCCTCCTCTCCGAGTGGAACACCAATCACACACACACAACAGGTGAGGGAGACGAGCATGCACGGTCCACGTGAACGTCCAATATTGAGTTGGGAACACTGCACTGCAAGGTGGCGCCAGCAGGGCTCTTCCTCATCGTGTGTGTGCCGCTAGTTGAGAGGTCCCACGGTCTTGACAGCATACCTCAAAAGGTCCGCCGATCGGTTTGCTCAATTAGCGGGGCGATTTGCGGCGGCCGCCACGGCCTCTTCCAAGGAAGATGGTGTCTTTGTTGTCCTCTCTGGAACTGTTTACGATGTCGTGGCGACACGACGTCTCATCCTCTGGCTAGCAGGGACAATGCCTGGCGGGCATAGGCAACTGGCCGGTCGGCTACTTGATTGGGGATTAAAAGAGCGCCACTCCCCCGTCAGCTCTGGCGCCGGTCACGCCAGCTTCCCCGTCGCGCGATGAGTCGCCGAGGGCATCAGTCACCGCTTCTGCTCGAAGAGACGACAAAAGGGTCCGTAGTTGAAAGTCAGGAACTTGCCTCCGCTTGTCACATGCTCTGGGTAATTACTCAAATCTTCGAAAACGTCTGGCAGACTGGGTGCCGAAGGGATTGAGAGCCTCTCCAGTGGACCGGCTTACGCACCATGGCGTCTGCCCAGATGAATTTCCAGGCCAAACTTAACACCGCCCAGACTTCTTGGGATCTACGCATTGTTGCTCACATGAACGCTTCGTACTGGTGTAGCCGTTTTCAGTCCAACTCTACTCACCACGCTGAACAAAGCTTTGCTATACGTAGCAATACTTACAAAAACGTAGCCACACCTGAAAAAAAGAAAACTAGAAACACTTAACAATGATTTCGACAGATCCAACGTACGATGTCATGCGAAGTATGCGGAGGGAAGGTGACTATGGTGTAATATTTTGTTGGGAGAAATGTTTTGCGAAATGACGCCAAACATACGTACAAATGTTATACGCGCGGAAACGTATGTTGAAGAATCTTTTATGTTTTATATAACAAATTGTTTACAGTTGCGTGCCAATGCAGAGAGCAATATGCGTATTACTACGACCAGATGCGGTAAGCTAAAATGTAGCGCTTCTGGTAGCGAGGATGGTATCTATTGCTACGTAGACCAACTTCAATGGATGGTGCTTGAGCTCGTGATCATTTGGCGGAAATGCTCACGAATAGGCAGTGTATTGATGTCACCACGATGGACTGCCATGTTTTTTTTTTTCAAATACTGTATAGTCCGAGCAACATAACAGTATCATAAGGTGCTCCATCGTCTTCTTCATTAACTGGTAAAAAACTGATCCTGTAGTCATCTAGCGGTAAATCTTTTTTTGATAGTTCCTTGCAGAATGTCTTCTCAAAAGAACACGCCTTCCCAACAATCCAGAAAGACATGTTCCATGGTTTCAGGCTTACGACAAGGCAACAGTCCTTTCCCTGCGGTACAAACAGACCCCTCTGTTGCATCCAGGTTTTAATTTCTATAGGGCGCCTGTATGGAGCTTTTAAAAAATATTTTGAACAAGCTGGAAGCCTGGGACAGCGTTTTTTAAACTCAGGCCAGTACATTTGGTAATGTCCAGCAGGATACAAACTCCTGTAAAGTGGTAGCTGTAAAGCAATATCGACATCATCATCATCCTCAGCAGCACCATCATCATCAGCCTGACTACGTCCACTGCAGGACAAAGGCCTGCAGTGGACGTAGCTCGGCTGCTGAACCGTACGGGATCGAATCCCGGCTGCCGCGGCTGCATTTCCGATGGAGGCGGAAATGCTATAGACCCGTCTGCTCAGATTTTGATGCCCATTAAATAACCCCAGGTGGTCAAAATTTTCGGAGCCCTTCGCTACGGCGTCTCTCATAATCATATGGTGGTTTTGGGACGTTAAACCTCACGTATCAATCAATCATCGACAATGAAAATAACTTCCTCTACTTGGAAATGCAGTGTGAGTGACGCATGTTTTACAAACACACGCGCCCTGTATATACATGCTCCACAAATACAGTGAAATGTCGCGGCAATAATGCGTGGTGCAAGCGTACATTGCCATTGGGCGTCAGAACCTGTGACTATCACCATGGCTTCGTGGTTTATAAAGCCGGTCATTCGCTACAAAAGTTACACACGTTTGTCATCATCATCCTCATCATCATCATTAGAAACTACGTCCACTGCAGGACAAAGGCCTCTCCCATGTTCCGCCATTTAACCCGGTCCTGTGCTTGCTGCTGCCAATTTATACCCGCAAACTTCTTAATCTCATCTGCCCACCTAACCTTCTGTCTCCCCCTAACACACTTGCCTTCTCTTGGAATCCAGTTAGTTACCCTTAACGACCAGCGGTTATCCTGTCTACGCGCTACGTGCCCGGCCCATGTCCATTTCCTCTTCTTGATTTCAACTATGATATCCTTAACCCCCGTTTGTTCCCTAATACACTCTGCTCTCTTCTTGTCTCTTAAGGTTACACCTACCATTTTTCTTTCCGTTGCTCGCTGCGTCGTCCTCAATTTAAGCTGAACCCTCTTTGTAAGTCTCCAGGTTTCTGCTCCGTAGCTAAGTACCGGCCAGATACAGCTGTTATATAACTTTCTCTTGAGAGATAGTGGCAATCTACCTGTCATAATTTGATAGTGCTTGCCAAATGTGCTCCACCCCGTTCTTATTCTTCTAGTTACTTCAATCTCGTGGTTTGGCTCCACGGTTATTACCTGCCCTAAGTAGACGTAGTCTTTTACAACTTGAAGTGCACTATTTCCTATCTCAAAGCGCTGCTCTCTTCCGAGGTTGTACATTACTTTCGTTTTCTGCAGAATATTTTAAGACCCACCTTTCTGCTCTCCTTGTCTAACTCCGTAATCATGATTTGCAATTCGTCCTTTGAGTTACTCAGCAATGCAATGTCATCGGCACACACGTTACTGCGCCTAATTTCTTAAGACTATACGTAGTGGGTGCATAGCAAGTTCAAAACGATTTTGTGCACTAAATGTTTGAAGTATGCGCACTAGGGACAGAATATCGCTGTCGCGTTCTCTCTTAAATGCGAAGCGTAATATTCCCGCAAGTTTATTGTTATTGATCACCTATTCACGCTGGTGAACACACATGGTGTGGAATCGGTCAAGAATTCAGTGGTTTTTATAAAGTGTTATAGAATGCGCATGAGTGAATAAAATTGAGAAGTTTACACTTTATTTTCTGTTTTGTGGACTAACACGAAGACCATGCTGCTGGTATACAAGTTTGGAGCATCTACAAATAGAAAAAAATGGAGCAAAAAAGAAAACGCCCTCGTTATTTCGTTGTAAAGCGCTTGGAGGCAGATGTGTTGATCGCATATAACAGAAATGAAACGCTCTACCATTTATTCGCCCCCCTTGCTCCCTCTACCTTCTATTTCAAATCAAAGTTAATTCGAAGCTGCTGTATGCCAGGTGTCAGAATGACGTCAGCAAATTCCAGTCATGCCCGTCTCGGCATCGAAAACAACATAATCTGTCGTGTAGTTGACAGAAACCCACCACTTCATCTTTCGAAAACACAATGCGACGAAGGATGGAACACTCGCCTGTACTAAAGGTGAGTAAGCAATGCTCAAAAGATGGCGTGTCTTCATCGTCGAGCCCTTTACTACAATCGATCGAAGATGTTCCAGTTTAATATCCAACAGATAGCTCGAGCGTGCGTTTTGGTGGGGAGGGGGGGGAAGAAGCAGCGTCTGAGGCAAAAGTTTATACAAGTTGAAATACGGGTTGTGAAATTGCGAATATTTAGGAGTTAGAGAGAATCTCCTATACTCGCATACTATATTGTACGAAAATGTCACACGTCACGTCATTACACCGCTTGAGGCTGCTTTGCATGACCACGCTCTATTTTACATGATCGAGTATGTGGACATTACGAACATGCGCGATATTCGCGCATGCGCTTTGGCCGTAAGTGCCAACTGACAGAGGCACTGGCCCCTTTCAAGACTCCACAAGTACTTGTGTCAAAGGTCTTGAATGTACTACATATATACACTAAAATTTCAAGACTTTTTAAACTATGCACGCGAAATGTGCACGGCATATATATGCCCCTGCTTTCCGCACACTGTCGCACTGCTTCGAAAACTTCAATGCACGTCTTGAACATGCCGAAACATATAATTACTACACTACAATAATTCGGATATAACTAATGTCACGTTAAGGCTGGCGCATGATGGTGCTGATTTCGTCGAGTTTGCACTTTTCGTGCGGATTCATAAACGAACCCAGAGGGCAGCGGAAGGCAGCCGCGAATTCAGCCACGTGCCTCAGGGGTCCGTTGACGCGGGCCCACGCTGAGCTGACGTCACTCTCCCGTTGGCTGCTCGCGAAGAGTGGGTTGGCATTCTCGCAGTGGCTCAGGCCGTAGTAGATGAAAAACAACTGTTCGGGCGAGAACTGGCGTGCCTCCTTGAAGCGGAAGTTAGAGACCTCCTTGAGCATGTACTCCTCGAAGGACTGGTAGGCCAGGCCGACGGCCAACACGTCCAGCATGTCAGCGGTCGAAGTCCTCTCGAACAGGAGTATCGTGTGGGGCGATGTGCGGCCTGCCGAAGCACTCATGCGGGCGTAGTCTTTCTGGAGACAGCCGCGCAGGTTTTCGAACACGGAAGCCGGGTCGGACCACGTGGTGTTCAGGTAGAAACCGTAAGCCAGGAAGTAGATGTACTTGAAGAGGCTCCAGTAGACGCGCGTGCCGACACGGGCGATGTGAAACTTCCTCAGCCTGCGTTCGATCGGCATGCCGAAGTCGAACACCGGCAACGGAATCTCCAGGTGTCTGAATGGAGCACCCAGTTGTGGCCACGCGCTCAGAGAGCCCTTGTTCCAGCCAGCCCTGAGGTCTTCTTCCGAGGTCTCCAGGGTTCCGCGCGCCCTCTTGACGGCCCGTTGAAGCCAAAAGTAGAAAAAGGAAGGGAGTTGTGGTCTACTGGAGTTCTCATTGTAAAGGCCGCTCAGGTACTTGCTCCGGTACTCCTTGTCGAAAAACCTCTTCGGCACCAGGGGCTCCCAGGAGACGCGCGCCAGCTGGCGGGACACGTGATCAGCGAACTCGCGCATAAACCAGCGTGAGAAACCATAGTCGATGTGTCTGGACATAGTGGCGTTGAGGTGACCCAGCACGAGCTCCTGCACGACGTCCCAAGATATCCTGGCTACGGAACGGTCGTAGGCCAATGCCATGACGAGTGGTGCTTCGAAGCGGTCCATGAGCCGCACGCAGTAGTGCTCGGGAAGCAGTGGCTGGGCAGCGCGAGGATTGCGGCCGTACGCGATGGATGCAAGCCGGTGTCGCACGGTGGCGTTGGCGATAAGTGGTGAGAGCGCCATGCAGACTCGGAAAGCCAGGTAGTTAAGGAGGTCCGGCTTCCGCAGGTTCTGCTGCACGTCACTGCCGAAGCTCAGCAGGTACTCGTAGTTGGGCATCTTGACGAACCGGTTGGTTGCCGCGATGCGGTCGCCGAAGGCCTCCTCTGCTAAGAGCATCCAGTGTACCATGCGGGACTCCGGCAGCTGGTCCAGGTGCATGGTCGTGCACTGGCTCAGGAGCTCGAAGCAACCGGGAGCCCTTTGTGGAGCCATGCGTCGCGCCAGGTCTGCCTCCACCGCAGCGATGTTCGTCGACAAGGGCCTGCCCAGGTACGACATGAGCGTATCGTGAGCTTCGGCCAAAAAGGCGAAATCGGAGATGGAGGACCCTTCTATGGCGCCCGACACGAGCTCAGGTTCACCGATGGACATGAACGTGTGCTTGTCTTCCGGATCCTCAACGGCGGAGAGATGAAAGAGGCTGTCCAGTCCCAAGAGACGGTAAAGGGTGCCAACCTTTGAGGCGACATCCACGGCTAGGATTCTATCCGAAGGTGAGTAAGGCCAGTGCTGCAGACCGACCATGTAGAAGAAGGTGGTGACGATGTCTCTGAACAGGGAAGCGGGTGGTTCGACACACGTGTCAAACAGGATCTTGGCTGCGGGCGCCTCGGCGTTGGTGCGACCCAGTACGCTGACGAGGAACCGAGAGTAATTGTCCAGGATGTCGTCGTCCACGGATCGCCTGTCCTGGTCCTTGGTGGGACGGTGTTTGTCCATCCAGACGGAGCACACGTAGGCGTAGAAGTCGTCGCATGGGTTCACGGACGCGTTGAGCGAGCCGACGATGCGCACCGCTTCGTGGTTGCACTCGAGCGAGCCACACAGATCGCTCTCTTGGACGACCTGTCATATCGAAGAGAAAAAAAATGGTAGAATAATACATTAGGTTGAAACAGATTCGTCACCTGTACGGCGCAAAGAAACGGTGACGAGCAAATATGTGGTGGTGTCTTTTGACTGAGAGTATTTTTAAACAGGTACAAAATAAATATATTAAAAAGAAGAAGAACAACAACAAAAAGAACTTGCTTACAACATATTGTCGCTGTCTAAGCTGTGGCCGCGCAGTCATCTGTTCCGACTGCCACGTAATTGAAAGACCAAAGGTTCGAACGAAACAATGTAGTATAATATTGTTATTCATTGTTTGGTTAAAAATAACTTTCATTTCTTTTTCGGAATTGAACGCTTTTCATTCTCTGAACAGCGGCGAAGAGGTGGTGAGCAACGTTAACGTTGGTGGTGAGGATTCGGGTGGGGGGGTGGGGTTGCAAGCGGCCGGCTTCGGTGATCTTCGTAATGCGGGGCTTTGTGCACGCGTATGAAAGTGCACACAGACGCACGCACGCACGCACATACGCCCGTGCCATTTAGCGCACTCACTCACCAAATTTCAGCGCAGAAGCTTGGCAGATGTGAGACGAGTGATCGCCCTGTTTTTTTTTAATTGCGAAGCATTTTTTAGCGAACTTCGGCGACTTTGAGCGTATCTATCTATCTATCTATCTATCTATCTATCTATCTATCTATCTATCTATCTATCTATCTATCTATCTATCTATCTATCTATCTATCTATCTATCTATCCATCTATCTATCTAGCCGCCTACAACTTTTAGTTCTCCTGGCTGTTTGGATAATGGTATCAATGCCAAACTTGGTATGGCATAACATGACTGTATGAGGAATATATTTGACTAGTCATAACATGAAAATCATGATATGTATGTCACGAATGTCATGATTTACATTTCATGGTCTTGCTGTTCTTGCGGTGGTCTCGTTCACATCACATGTTGCAAAACTGGTATGGTATGACATCATTGCGTGGCAAACACAAGCGACAGACCCTCACGTGGAAATCATCACATGCATGTCATGTAAGTCATGAGTCATGACTACACGCCACGCTCATGATGCGCTCGCAGCCGTCTCGCTAGCTTCACATGTACCAAGTTCTGCGTTACGTGATGCGAATGCATGACGGAGGTATAAGACTGGTGCAAACATGATAATCATGAGATGCGTGCCATGTGACATTATGACTACAAGCCCCACTCATGATGCCCGCGCAGCAGTTTCGCTAGCTTCACATACACCAAATTTGGTATCAAGAGACGTGAATAGACGACAAAAGAATGTGACTGGTGCAAGCACGATTATCATGTGATGCGTGTCACGTAACAACATGACTACATGCTATACTCATGATGCCCTCGCGGCCGTCTCGCTAGCTTCACATGCACCAAATTCAGTATTAGGTGACGCGAACGGACGACATATGTAAATGACATGGCCAAACATGATAATCATGACATGAGTGTCATGTAACAACATGACTACATACCGCACTCTTGATGCACTCGGGGCCGTTTCACTAGATTCATATATGCCAAATTTGGTATTACGGCACGTGAATGGATGATGAAGGTATGCGACTGGTGCAAACATAATAATTTTGAGATGCGTGTCATGTAAGCGCATGACTACATGGCACAATCAAGGCGCCAATACACTTAGACGTGACCCGGTGCGCGTGTGCTCCAGCGTTCGTCGCGACATGCCGGCGATGCCACGCCAGGCACCGATCTGCCTGCCATATACTCGCAGGCACGCGTCGCACTGCGTTTCTATGACGCATGCGCGTTTGAGCACACCCGGCGTCCCTTCGTCACGAAGCTAGGCAGACGCAGTGCATTCTTGGTAAAGTGGTTGATGCGAAATGCGCTGCATTTCGCACCGGTTGCCGCTGGACTGCGCCGACAGACGCTGGTCGCGTCTGGCGTCAGACTAGTGTTCGCGTTTTGCTAGCGTAGCGTCGCTGCGCCCAGCGTGCGCTCGTCAACGTTACGTCGCAGTATATTGGGCCCCTCATGATACTTTCCCCGCCGTTTCGATAGCTTCACATATTCTAAGTTTGGTTTTACGGGACGTGAATTGACGCCGAAGGTATGTGACTGGTGCAAACATGATAGTCATGCATGAGATGCGTGTTATGTAACAACACGACCACATGCCACGCTCATGATGCGCTCGCGGTCGTTTCTCTAGCTTCGCATGTACCAAATTGGTGTTGCATGACGTCAATAGACGGCGAAGTTAAATGACACGCCCGAACTTGGTAATGATGACATGCGTGTCATGTAAAACATGACTACATGCTACGCTCCTAGCGCGCTCGCGGCCGTTTCGCTAGCTCCACATATACCAAATTTGGTATCAGGTGGCGTGGATAGATGATGAAGGTAAATGACACGTCCAAACATAATAATTATGCATGGAAGTTATGTACGGCATAGTTTACCTCCCCCTCGTAACGTTGTTCTGATTTTAAACTGACATAAAAACCTTCCTCATTCGTGCTTCGCATATCATCGATTCCCCCTGTACGTGGGTTCTATCAATTTTCTTTAAAGTTGTTCCTTGCATGTACATGCTGCTGTGTTAGATTAAAGTTGAATATATGTAATTTTTTTTTATTTAGGAACTATACACACTCCTGAAACGTAACACAATTAAGTACACCCTTCTAGCGTAAAAAAATAGGGGTGCATATTAGAATACTGCATCTATAATTTTGCTCGTTGTTGCATAGGTCATGGATGTTTCGGTAACCCAAAACAACCCTAACTTCTTAAAGATGCTTTGGCTTGAACATCACCCCTTAAAGGCTGTTTGTGGAGGCAAAACACCCTTACAAACTTGTTTTGCACATTTTGGTTAGACAAAAGGGTGCTTTGCTTGCTGAGAACCCCTTAAGGGTACAAAGTGGTTTACAGTAAAAAAAAAAAAACGAAATGAACCTGACCGTTGTTTCATCGGCTTTGCCGGTGCAGGAGAAATCCGAGCCGGTGAATCCTTCGGGCGATTCGTCGGTGAAGTTGAATCGCAGGTGCGTGTACCCGACGCCTGTTCGTCCCGGCACGATCAGGTAGCTGACGACGGCCATGCCCAGCACGGTGACGACGATGACGAGCGCGCTGTACGCGGCGTAGTTGCAGGCGCACACGAAGCGAACGGAGCGGTTGGCGACCACGTAGGGATGGCCTCGGTCCAGGTAGGAGCGCGGCACGTTCAACCCCAGCTCGTCGGCGTCCTCCATGATGCACGAGCCACGAGATGGGCGCGTGTTGGCGTTGTCGTCGTCCTCTGGCCGTGGCTCATATTCACTGCAGGAAATTGTTTATTTATTTATTTATTTATTTATTTATTTATTTATTTATTTATTTATTTATTTATTTAGTGAATACTATCGACTTCTATGCGAAGTCGTAGGCAGGAGTGGGTGACAGATACACTTGATTGGACATTTTCCAGGGCAAGAAAACAACAGAAGCTTAAAACAGAAAAAAAAATGTCGGGGGGAAATATAGAAGAAAAACAGGGATTTACAAACATTGAAGTCAATGCAGCGCTTCAGAATGAGCAAGTTTTGTTGACAAAAAAAAAAAGGCGAGAAAAACACATACTGACACAATCGACGAAGCGTGATACAATTGAGCTAGCGCTGAACATAGGAAAGTAATTCAACTCAGACACACACGGGAGAGATTAAATGCGGTGACGATGAAATAAAAAAAGAAAAAAGAAAAAAGTTCAAAGGATAGCTGGCAGATTTGCTATCGCATTCATGAATGAAGCGACAGTTGTGGATGAAACAGCTTCATGTTTGTTTTTGTTCCTTTCTTTTGTGGCTCTCACCCACTAAGGGAATGGTCAAGAAGCCGGTGGTTAATGCAAGTCAATACCTTTAGGTTTTCTAGACTAGGGGAATACGATTACTGTGTTTTGATTGTGAAATTAATTTGGCGCAATGTAAAAAAAGGAAAAAAAGGGGGGGGGGAAGAGAAATAATAGAATTTGTTGAATATCTGAGGTGTAATCGTTATATAAAATTCTCCTGAAAGTTTAATCATTGCAGTGTATCAGCTAAACAATATTGACCGAGTATGGTATAGAGTAGAGCGTCGTATCCGTGGTACACACCCACGCTGGGGGATTGACCATGAACCAGGTGGTTAAAAAAAAAAAGCCTTAAAATATGTTAGGGTATGTCTGGTAACTAACAAGTAGAAAGTACTTATATATATACAATAAATGCATAGTAAATACGAACAGAAAAAAAAATGAAGCGAATAATTTGAACCAACAATTAAAGCTAATGGAAAACCAGGGATTCAAAGTAAAGGTCGATTCTGCAGCATGAATTTTTCCGAACAATTTATAAACTCCTCCAAGGCCTCCGCAACCTCCGCTCACTGTATTCAAGAGACAAAACTTCCAAAGCGAACATCGATGTCGGTTCATGTCGATGTCCATGATTCATTCACCTGTTCTTACATCAGCTGCTTTTAACTACAACTCCTGCAGGAGTCAGGCGACGGCACCTAATGCACTTCTGCGTAAAGCGGAGTATCCCTTACGAGGAATTAAATAATTACCCATAGTCTCATAGACTCCACAAAATCAACCATTTGGAGAAGCTGCCAGGCCACCTCCGTGTGAATAAAAATCGGCATAGGTAGTTTGACGCCACAGTCTATAATGATTGCGTCTCAGATCGCTCCCGTGTGACACATTTCACTAGTATCTGGTGAATTTTTACAGCGAAGCTTTCCTTTCGTTATGCCGCATGGCGTATCCGCATACTTTCACCATTACGAAACGGCGAACGCTCTCTCCGTCCTATTCTTCACCTTCCGTTTCGCCCAGAAAAGGTGCGTCTATTTGTCCCTTGTGGCCAGATTAAATAACTCTGATGGGTTAGAGAGCGAGTACCGAGAGGAGAAAGAAGGAGATAGAAAAAAATAGAAGGATAGAAATAAAGAAAAAGAAATGGGAAAAAAGACAACAAGAAGGAAAGCGAGAGAATGGGTGAAGAAGGAAAGCTACACTTGAAAAGCATAGACGAAAGACAGAGAATGGCATAGCCATTTTTGTAAAGCATAGCAAGGGGCAGGAAAGGGATTTGAAAGTGAACAGGAGGACAAAGATGAGGGGAGAGGGCAAGGAGAGCTTTTTCCTTCCTCCACTCCGGGGATAGGACTTTCATCCACGTGGTTAGCGGCGCAACAGTTCACCTGCTACAGGCGACAACAACGACCATGCATTCCCATCCAGGCAACAACACAGTGTAGCAACGTTAAATGTCTGGTTGCCTGAATAAAGGATCAGATTGCCATATTATACCCAGTCGATCGCCGACACGTCTACGATGAAAAGAGTCTCACTTATTAAAAAACAGCGCATAGAAGTGCATGTATTACCGGCGCATATTTTGTGGCTGCACCTCTTTACGGGCGCCGGCACCGGAGTTTGACCTACCATATGGATTGATTCGACGACCTAGTACTGTCGCTTGTTGAGTTGTTGCTCAGCGGGACGGCTTTAAGCTCTCCCATGGAAGAGTACGAAGTACTCTAAATCGTTACCCCTTATATTGAATTGAATTGAATTTTATTGGTCACACTTTTGCAAGGAATTACATACACTGCTGGACCCATAGCCATGTCATCCGATTCCTGAAGATCGCTTCGAATGGCGAAACGGTCTTCCTAAACAAGTTGATCTCCGACCGGTCGACCACCTTTCGCAGTCGCGAACTACTGACCCCGATATCCCTGCGTCCACTACACTTCGAAGTGGACGAGTGCTCTCGAACTCCCCACCGATCACGGACGGCGTCCAAGCCTCCACGGCGGCACCGCATCATGACTGCAGCGAGGCCATTTCTCGAGGCTTCTCTCTGTTCGCCCAAGAGCTCAAGACATCCGGGTTTGGCTGCGCCTCTTTTGGATCGTTCAACGAGAACGAATTCCATATTTTCAGGGATTAAGGATGACCCTACCACTGGGTAAGCGTGATAAACTCGGTTTGCCCTTAAATACTCGTGGAGCGACACGATTAAGAAGTCGGTCGCTTGAAGGACGTTTGCGAGGATCTGCCCAAGCGTGGCATCGTTTCCAAGGCAGTACATACGCTACATGGCAAACATGGAGCGCGGCCCTGATGTCCGCGTTTGCGCCGCTTCCGAGCGCTTACGACGACCGTTTCATGACCATGCGGTCACGCCGGCAAGGTGCAACCGAGGACGTCGCGACTTACATCTACGACAAGCTGGACCTTTTACAAGCTTGCGATATACAGTGGACCTCCTCCGCAGCCAGGCAGTACATCATCGACGGGATCCATGACTCGACGCACGCAGCGTCTTGTCCGCCTACAACCACCCAGTCCACATCTCCACTTTCGTACGCCAGCAAGGAGTTGCAGGACACGTCTCATCGCCGGGCGGCTGCAGTTGGCCCAAGGAGCCAGCTTCACCGAGACGCGGATGCTATACGTGTGGCCGCATCGGGCATGGGTATAAAGCTGCCCACAAAGCCAACCTCAAGCGATGCAATATCAATCACGCCCACTTCCAACCTCAAGGTCCGCGTCGACGGCATCGGAGAACTGACAGCTCTCGTTGATACCGGAGCTCAACGTACGGCGTTGCTTCGCCGCCACGCCTCCGAACCTCTCCAGCCTTGGACTGAGCCACCACTGCGGGGTCTCGGGGGCGACGTACTACCGGTCGGTGCCCTAAACCTGCAACTCAACACCGAGGCCGGCAGCAAGTTTTTGTCCTCGGTGCCCCGTCTTCGACGACCTGCCCACAGACATGGTTTTAGGGGCCGACTACCTGCTCTCCGGGGAAGTGCGCCTCACGGTGGAAGGAAGTACCGTCAACCTCCATCCTGTGGCTCCAAGTGTGCCTCCGGCGCAATCCCAAGGTGAGCTGACGACGCCACTTACACTTCCCGCAATACTCGAGAGGCACGCATCGCTCTTCGCTGATACTACTACTCAGCTTCCCGGAACTAGCGTGCTAGTGCACCATATTACTACCGACAATCATCCGCCGGTGTCCATACCGTTACGTAGATATGCCGAACGAGAGCGGATATTAATTGACCAGCAGGTGCAAGAAATGCTTGCCGCAAGCATAATCAGGCCATCTTCTAGCCCGTGGGCAGCACCTGTTGTCCTAGTCCGTAAAAGGACGGCAATCTCCGATTCTGTGTTGACTACCGAGAGCTGAACAAGCACACCATACCAGACTCGTACCCGCTGCCACGCATTGACGACGCTATTGACGCCGTACGAAAAGCGAGGGTTCTTTTCGTCGCTAGATTTAAAAGCAGGGTATTGGCAGATCAACGTGGCTGAAGAAGATAAGTTTAAGACGGCCTTCCGAACACCATCTGGCTTGTACGAGTTTAATCGGATGCCGTTCGGTCTGCGAACTGCTCCAAGCACCTTTCAGCGTGCCATGAACACAGTGTTAGGCACACTGATAGACCGTGCCTGCGTCGTGTACCTCGATGACGTTCTAGTCATCGGGGGAAACAGAAAAACAACATCTACAAAATCTCGACACGGTTCTGCAGAGGCTATACAACACCGGCTTTCGACTTAACCGCGAGAAGTGCCCAGTTTGGGTTGACGACAATATCTTATCTTGGTTATCAGATATCTCATAATGGCGTACGACCCTTGCCTGAACGCATAGACGCCGTTGCCAATACCCTGCACCAACATCTATAAAACAGCTCCAGGTATTCCTAGGAATGGCGTCATACTTGCGCAAGTTTGTACCGAGCTTTGCGTCAACTGCTGCTCCACTCACGGACTTACTGAAGAAAACGCCCAATTTCAGTGGGGTCCTTTGCAGGATAACGCCTTCCAAACCCTCAAACACCAGCTTACACATAGCCCGGTGCTCTGCCACTTTAATGAAGATTGGATGACAGAAGTCCATACTGATGCGAGTCAGATTGGCCTGGGGGCGGTTTTACTTCAACGTGACTCGAGTGGCGTGGGCACGTCATCTGCTACGCCAGTCGTAAACTATCGGACGCAGAACGGCATTATCATTCGAATGAACTGGAGTGTTTGGCTGTAGTATGGAGTGTGGATGAAAAGTTCCGCCACTACTTGTTTGGCCGACACTTCACGGTAGTAACAGACAACTCCGCGATTGCGTGGATGTTCCAGAAGCAGCACCTCAAGCACAAGTTTGCCCGATGGATTGTTCGGCTCCAAGATATACGTACGACA